GCTTCCCAGGACTTCAGGAATGTTTAGTCCTCTTTACCTAGGTAACAGTTGCTGCATATTTTGCCAGTGTCACCTCCATTACTCTCTACACATGAATATCTTTGAGACCACCTGCTCTGGCCTGTTAAGGACCCTTCTACCAAGGACTAGCAGTTACAGGGACTCAGTTGTCAAGCCTTCTCAGTGATGCCAACCACCCTCCTGTGGAACAACTGGCCCATGATATCTGGACTGCTTCCTCCTCATTGAGCATCCAGAGAGCTTGATGGCATGATTTTGTTTTAATGTTTCTCTTGCTTAGTTACTCAGAACCATTTGGAACTGAGCAGTATACAAACTTAAGAAAGTTGGTACATATAAATAAATTGACGTTATAAAAAAGAAGGTGTTAGGCAAGCCTTTTTGGTTAGAGTGTCTACGGTTAGTCTTACCACTGAAAATGCCTCTCCTGCTATCTTTTGCTTCATTTTACTTCTTTGGGTTACCTCTAGGTTACAAAGTTTTTTCAAAAGATATCAAGCTTTGAGCAGGTGTATGTGGGGGAAGGCAACATTTCAGTATCATACTTCCAAATTTTTAAAGGCTTTAAAGAAAAAGAAAACACGATGTTAATTTGAAGGTCAAGTTTCTAACTTTGGCTACTCTGTGATCCAACTTTGTCAGTTGATGCCAAAAGTAGGAGTGAAGCAAGATTTGCTTCAATTGGTGGTGTTTTTTTTTTTTTAATAACTACATTTAGGAAAGCTTGTCCTTTCTAAAAACACCATTTGTTAAATTGTTTTTTAAAACATGTCTCAACCATTTGTATGGGGAGATATGATCTTGTTTTGACTTAATAATAAATATGCCAGTCAGTCTCTGTGACACATACACACACAATTAGTAAAATAGCACAGAGCATAGATTAATAGGAAGGCTGCTACTGTTAGTGTTTCTGCTTTTTCACCTGAAGAGCTTAGAGCATTTTAAATGCTGTAATGAGGTGACTTAGCAGTATCTGCAGATGTGCGAACACGTGTGAAAGCTTACTGAAGTCAGGCTTCTTACCTGTTAATATGCTTCTGCTACACACTTAGCAATTAGAAAAGAGCACATAAGTCACAGCAACAGATAACTTTAGCTATTGCCAAAATACAATGAATGAAAAATGTAGATTCACTCTAGTGTTCTGCGTGGATTGCATTTCTATGTTTGGCTCAGTCATCCACTCAGAGGGGATTTGTGGTAGAGGAAGTTGCAGGGATTAAGCAGGGCATCTAATTCTTGATTTTGGCCAGTTTCAGTTAACTTGGACTTGCTGGATTTATCTGTTTCTAATCTGGTTAAATACTTCTGTTCTTTTTGAATCTTAGTGTTGTAAGTGATAAATATATCAAGAAATGTAGCCCATGTTTTGCATAGATCTTTTATCTGTGGCTTGGCTGCTATTTAAGATTTACTTCTAGTTTTAATTGCGCTAGATTATTCTAGACAAGTGTTTTCTAAGTATTTGGAAATCTTAACTTCCACCTAGATGGAAAATGACTTAATCATTCCAGTAGAATGAGGAACTAACATGTTCTGAACCTCAGACTTGTGTTTTTTGCAGTATCTCATAGTAAAATATGTAGAGTTAACATCTCTAGTTTCTGTATTGTGTTCAATACATTGATGCACAGCCGTTGTTTCTTGACAGAGACGGGTACTTTTCATGATGGCCCAGCCATGGTCAACTTGTACTGGAGCCTTCTATTTTAGAAAGAGTAGAAGTACTGTTTTTCTGTAATTGTATCACAGAATATAATAACTAAGCTCGGAAAAAATTCAGTTGTAATTATTTAGTTAAGTACAGAAAACAGGAAAATTTGGAATATGTCAGAGTAGAAATTGTTAAGAAAGAATAATTGAATTTTTCCTCATTAATGGGGATCCTGAATTTTGACCTGTACAATTATAGTTTTCCTTCCATTTTGTCCCACAGACTTGTGAAATTTAGGAAAATGATGTCAGTACAAGTAGTCCTCACTTAACAACAGTAATTGGGACTGGAATTTCCATCACTAAGCGATGCAGTCATAAAGCACAACATCACGTGACTGTGCCACTTAGCAACAGAAATTCTGGCACTTCCAGTTGCTGTTGTTAAGCAGATCACTGCGGGTCATTAAGTGAGGACATCACATGGTTGCCATTTGCAACCTCCTGCTGGTTTCCCCATTGACTTGGCTTGTAGGAAGCCAGCAAAAAAGATTGCAAATGGCAGTCACATTATTGTGGGGATGCTGTGACTGACATAAGTATGAGGGCTGATTGTAAGTACCACTCATTTAGAACCATCTTAAGTTTGAACGGTCACTGAACGAGTGGTCATTAAGCAAGGACCACCTGTACTTTTTATGCAGTGTAAATGAGCACTTTAAGTTTGACATTTTGATGAGTAATTAAGAAATAACCTAGGTGAACAAAATTGATATGTGAGGAACACTGTTTAGAGAAGGATTTATTTCTTTAAAATACATCAGTATTGTAGTCATAAATGTATACATGTATGTATTTTTCATGAACATTTTGTGAGTTGCCTTGCATAGAGAAATTATTTACTTCTTTTGTGGTAGACATTTTATCCTATGTGTTGCCTTATAGTCAAAGGTAAAAATAGAAGAAGTTAAGATTCATGCAGTTGTTCATTTAGTTAAAACAGCATGTGTGGATTTCAGGGAGATGGCACATTATTATTGTTGTTCTTATATTTAATCCCTATGTCTATATCTATACATCTTGTCCCGCTGTGTATGTATGTACGTATAAGGCAGCAAACATACCTAATACTCCTGCTAATTGCTAATACTAATTGCTCACAGTTACAAAAGTTTGGATTTCCTTATTCCAAGTTGTCAGAGGTTGAAACACATCTGAAATGATTGAAATGCCTGGTTTTGACCTTGAAATGGGCAGTGCTGTAGGACTGAGAAGTACAAGTAGTCCTTGAATTACGACTATTTGTTCAGCGACTGTTCAAAGTTACGATGGTGCTGAAAAAAACGACTGATCCCTGAAGTTATGGTCGTTGCAGTGCCCCCATGGTCACTCGGTCACGATGTGAGCACTTGGCAACCCATTTACACTTACAGCCAGTTGCCAAGCACCCTGCGATCACATGATCACCATTTGCAATCTTCCCTGTTGACTTCCCACAAGCAAAGTCAATGGGGAAGCCTGCAGGGGAGGTCACAAATCTCTCAGGTAAGTCTCCCCACCCATCCCAGCCTTTCTTCACTTGGGTGCACCGCACCCTCCTTCCCCCTTCATTTACAAGCACCAGTGCCCTCCTTCCCCTTTGCTTGCTGGCACACACCGTGCCCTCACACACACACACACCACCCTCCTTCGCTTGCTCGCATGCACCAGCGCCCTCCTTCCCCCTTCTCTCATTCGCACTGCGCTCCCTTCACACTGTGCTGCACCACTGGGACTTTGCAGGAGGAAGGAGAATGCCTCACAAACGGCCAGCAGCTTCCAATGTGAGCTGCAGAATGCGCGCTGAAAGTGCCCTTGGAGCGCTCCTTCAGTGCTGGAAGTGCCCCTGGAGAGTCCTCAAGCAAGGGAAGAAGGGTACTGTGTGTGCATGCAAGTGAAGAGGGAAGGAGAATGTGGTGCATGTGAGCAAGTGAAGGGAAAAGAGGGGGCTGGTGCGTGCGAGGGAAGGAGGGTGCAGTGTGTGCATGTGAGCAAATGAAGGGAAGGAAGGCACTGCTGCGTGCGTGTAAGCAAGTAAAGGAGGGAATGAGGGCATAGTGTGTGCGAGCAAGCAAAGGGGGGAGGAGGGCTAAGAAGCCCCTGAGCTGCAGCATGACAAGCAGTCCCAGAGCCGCAAGGCGGGGTGCAGGACAGCCAAAAGGGCAGAGATGGGGGGGAGATAGGCAGGTGGAGGCAGTCCCTTACCTTACTGAGGCTTGAGGCTGGAAGAGACCAAGCCTGGAATGGCTTTGATTGGGGTGGGTCCTTGGCTAACGACCAGTGGAATTCGCTTAACAACGGCAGTGGAGAGCACCAGGATTGCTGTCGCTAAGCGTTGTGGTCACGTGAAGTCTCACTTTTCAACTGCATTGTTCAGCAATAGAAATTCCAGTCTCAATGTAAGGATTTATTATTATTATTATTTTTGCTGATGGTGCTAAATAATTATATTAAGCTTTATCACAGTAACATTTAAATGGAGCGCTATTGACATAAATGATGGAAACTGTATTCCTGCTGAGGCACCAGATCACATGGTGATAGTGATAATCATTAAAAAAAAGTTGCCCATTCCTGCCTGGTGATTATACTGTTCCGTAGTTCTCACAGCTTGTTTACACATTGTCAGACTGAACAGGTTCATTATTTTTGTCAAAATGGGTCTTATGTGAAAAGGATCTATGGATCTGTGCCTGCGCAAGTATAGTTTTATAATAAAAATTCACAATCAGATATGCAAAGAATAATTGTACTATGTGTGCACACCAAAAGATTTGTGTGGGGGGTTTTTTTGGTTATGTTATAGTGGATTGAATGGCAAAAAGAGGCCGGGTGGAATTTGCATACCATTAGGCTTATATTTGGCTAATTAGTTGCTCCTGTTTTTACATTTGCTACAACTAAAAGTAAAGGAAGATTGGCTGATTACGTTTTAAGAGGTTTTGTTCCCACAATGCAGCCTAAAGCATAGCTAGTTATAAAAATAGTATTTCCTTTTTTATTTGCCTGCAATACTTTGTGTCTATTAAATCTCTAGTGGCTTTAGAAATGCTCTGAAAAGGCACATTAAAGCTTCACTTAGCAGTTACTTTTCTGAGATAAAAAGGCCTTTCTTAAAAAGTAAAGATGTTGAGCTGGTTTTCTGATAGCTTTTCAGGTGGCATACTTCATTCCTCAGCGTCTTGGCTCTTTTCCTTTATTCTCAGATATTTTCCCATTTTGAATCAGATGAACTTATTCTTACTGACTATTTGTTTGAAATGTTTTTATTTTATTTTTGACAGGTTTGGGTAAGACAAAGCGAAAGACCAGCGCTAGAGATGCCTCGCCAACTCCGAGTACTGATGCAGAATACCCATCCAATGGTAGCAGTGCTGACAGGATCTATGATCTGAACATCCCTGCGTACGTTAAATTTGCCTATGTGGCAGAGAGGGAGGATGAACTATCTCTCGTTAAAGGATCTCGAGTGATTGTTATGGAAAAATGCAGTGATGGCTGGTGGAGAGGGAGCTACAATGGACATATTGGCTGGTTTCCTTCAAACTATGTAGTTGAAGAAGTTGAGGAGGCAACTGCCGATTCACCAAGTTTTCTAAGTTTGAGAAAAGGGGCGTCCATGAGTAATGGCCAGGCCATGAAAATACTTCACATTGTTCAGACTTTGTATCCATTCAGTTCTGTCACTGAAGAAGAGCTCAATTTTGAAAAAGGTGAAACTATGGAAGTGATAGAGAAACCTGAAAATGACCCAGAATGGTGGAAATGTAAAAATTCTCGAGGGCAAATTGGTCTTGTTCCCAAAAACTATGTAGTAATCTTAAGTGATGGTCCTACCATTAATACTTCCCACCCTCCTCAGATAAGCTACACAGGGCCCTCTTCTACAGGACGGTTTGCAGGAAAAGAATGGTATTATGGAAACGTTACTCGACATCAGGCAGAATGTGCGTTGAATGAAAGGGGAGTGGAAGGTGACTTCCTTGTCAGAGACAGTGAATCTTCGGTAAGTAGCTACCATTTCAGAATTCAGAATGTTGTAGATTTTGATTTTGTGATGTATCATGCAGAATATATGGAATTAGAGAGAATAAAGATTTGCCTCGCTATATGAATCAAGTCGAGTTCTTTCAAGTGAATATTCTGTGTGGGGTAATACAGATCTCCTTTCATTAATTGAATAATCAATTATTTATATAGAGAAAAACAGAATATAAGCATGGTATGCCATTTTTGTGCTACAATTTTAAATTTATTTTTCAGATATATCCTTTGAAAACAACTGGGACTTTCTCTTAGCAAATTTAAAATATTATATTAATGCATAAGCAAGTGTTAGTAGGAAAGGTTAAATTTGTTTTATGCATTGAATTTTCAAGGTGTGTGGGTTTTTTTACTTGAATTCTCTATTAATCCTGCACAGATGAACTTCCAAAAGGTTACATTCAGATTCTGTGCAGGCTCAACCTCAGCGAAATATAGCTAACCTGTTTTTTTTGCATCCAGTAAAATAGTTGCTTTTCCTGCTTCTGACTTTTTGGTATATGGAAATTTCAACAAGTTCCAAAGAAGAGCCATGTTGGTCCCTTGTAACAAAAGATTTGAAATCTGTATATATTTGAGAGCAATATTCCTGAAATCTAACTGCATTGCTTTGCAGCCAAAGAGTCCTATACTGCTTTAAAGATTGAGTTAATTTATTGCAGTAGCAGATGTCATTGGATACAGCTGAATAACTTTCAGATCTTCTTAGATGGGCTTTCTCTCTTGCCGCTTCCTGTGGGTTTCACGCTATGGCTTTCTACAGCTTCCACCTCAAGATGGACTTAAGTAATACTGAAAAATTAAGGCTTTGGATCATGTTTAAATCTGTACATATTTTCTTTTTTCATTATTTTTAAATGCTTCTTATATTGTATACTTTCCTTGTTATAAATTGATTTCTCGATTATATGTGATAGAGGGAAAGAGTTGGTTTATGAAGTGTATACAAAGTGTTTATCTTTTGTTGGCTTTGATTTACAAATCATGGTTGTTTGATAGGAGCAACTTCATCATAAATCAGTTTGCATTCTGTGAATCCTGTTTGTGCATTATAGGTAGTTCTCATTTAGTGACCACAATTGGGACTGGCAACTCGGTCACTAAGCAAAGCAGCCACTAAGTGAAACTGCAACTGTGCTTATGATCTTACTTCAGCTTACTTCAGCTTTTCATACCTGTGAAGGTCATAACTGCAAGGATTGGTCGTAAAGTTACTTTTTCATCACCATTGTAACTGCGAATGGTTACTAAATGAGTCAGTCGCTAAACAAGGACTACCTGTATTTTAAAAGACAATTCCAATGGATAGTTAGTGCCACACCAGCTGGTGGTGAGGAAAAATGTTTGGAAATGATGGTGCTGTACTAGATTGGGATAAAAAAAATGTTCACTCCTGTGAGATGGACAATATCATTATTCCTTTTTTTGTATCATAAGGGTGGTAAGTGAACTCTGGCTTAAAGCCATCTCATAAGCTCCAGTAAGCAGAGGGGCACAATTTGTACATCCAATAACAAATGTTGGAGAATATGTTTGTAGTGTTATATTAGGTTTGTATCTTAGCCCTAGATCAATTCCTTGACTTTTTATGAATAGTTCTCTTTGGCTACTTTGTTCTTTGAATGTGGAATGAGAATTGCTTATTGAAATGGGTAGAGAACTCCAGCCTCCTCAGTTTCTCCTTGGCACCTCCATAGAACTGATAATTAGTTCTGAAACCATTTCATCTTTCTCCTAAATTTGAACACCGAAGGCCAACTGTGATTCCAGCACCTGCTTTACAAGAACTTTTGAGTTTCAGAAATAGCATGCAAAATCTTATATACTCATCATGACTTTTCAGTTGCCTTTGCTGACTCATAATGTTCTTTGTACTTCTTAGCTGAAGAGCAGCCCAAGTTTTCCCTTGTGATCTTTTTGAATAAGTTTAGGACAATTCAGGACTCTAATGCCTTTGGGCAAGTAGCATATGCACTTTTTAAAAGATACCTTTCTGTGTTGGAAAAGCATTTTGTGGATTACCCTAAATATAAAATCAAGTCCAACATTTATAAGCTCAATTTATGAATTATAGAATTCAAGATATAATATGCTCCATGGGCCAGAACAAATAGAAAGTACAACTATTATCTTCATCAAAGAAAATGAAAAAACCAAGATGTGTTATTCTCAGACTACTGTTTCTCTGTTGTATATAGATATTCAAATTATTTCTTGAGGGGAATAAAGCATTGATTGGTGAATTTAATTGCATCTTTACTGAGTGGATTAAATCAGAAAGCTTTCCTGAACCTGGTGTCCTTCACATTGATTGAGCTTCAAGTTCCCAGAATTCTTGGCCAGCATTCTAATTTGGTGGTATGCATTATGTACAAACAGAGGAAATTATTGAGGCTGTTATTTGGGAAAAGCTATGAAGATGACAGCTATGTACTCTTTCTTTCTTATGTCCCCCCTTTTTTTCCCTTCCTTTTTCTTGATTTTTCTATATTTTAACTTTTTTTGAAAACATAATAAAATTTATAATTAAAAAAAAAGATGACAGCTATGTGCAAAGCAGATAGCAGAATAATTGACTGAAATTTTGTTTCTACATTGCTGTAGCGTACAGATGTAGAAGATGGAGGACAGAATGGGTTATATTTTCTACAGAATCCTTTGTGAAATTTAATGCTGGCATGCCTTTTCCTACATATATGAATGTTATAGACACAAGTGGGTTTGATAGCTGGAAGTGAATGTTACAGTTCATTCCCAGTATTTAATCCCTTCCAAAATACAGTTTTGCATGAGTTCTGTCTAAAATTATATTGGTGATATTTTCCTCTTTTCCCTTTTCTTGATTTTACTAAGATTTTTATTCTGTTGATATAGAATTATATAAATTATATAGAATTATATATATTAGAAAAGATGTGTTATATAACTATAACACATCTTTTCTAATATGTCCAAAAGATGCGTTATAGTTTCAAATTAGCAATGATCGGCTCTCGGACAAGCCTCATTGGCTACGATACTCCAAAATATGTGTTATACATATCTAAAATTAACCTGTAGATAGACCTGTGCTTATTTTGAGAAAATTAGAAATTGAAAGATACTAGATATTGGGAATGGGGGAGGGGAAATGAAATACTATGTCACTAAGCAGTTGTTATTATAGTGTGTTGATTAGAAGATAGAAGGCTGGGTTTGTTAGGCCTTGTGAGGAAAGTAGGTTTTGTGTATCACAAGATGTTGCAATAATGGATATTAAACAGGGTGTTCTAGGCTGGCAGACCTGAGGCAATCCAGTTAATGTGTTAATTTTGATTAACTATCTGTATGTGATGAAACAACTGGGCAAAGAAGGCAGAGGATTTGTTTAGGACTGAAAGGCAGTATAGGAGGTAGAGTAAAAGGAAGAGTGGAGTGGACATTTCCTAATTCAGTGCCACCTCAGCTTTTCCCCAAATTATATACTTCTTGGTGGTGTAAAATGCTACACTGAGTTGTAAATTAACGTGTTCATGATCATAATTTTTATCCTCACTGCCTGACTGCTAAGGGTGAATAGGCACAATTGTTTCCATGCCTGCCTGATTCAAACAGTCATGGCAAAGATCCCAAAATATGAAAACTTGGAAAATGCATTTTGAGATGTAGCTATTTAGTACAAAACCAATTTTTTCCAGATTTTTTTTTT